ATATTATTCCCCTTTACCCAAGTATATATTTTGTGGCAAGTTTGGCTGAAATTGGCCCAGTGATTCTTAAAAAAAGTAAAAAAAAAATATACCAAAAGTTTACAGACAGACGGACAGATAAACACATGGACGCCTGACAAAATATGATCAGAAAAGTTAACTTGAGCCTTGGGCTCAGGTGAGCTAAAAAATACAAACTCTGAACATTTTAGCTCTTTACAGGTTTGTTAACAACCAATAAAACCGTATTTTAACAACCAGTTAAAGACCGAGTATAGCTACTGAAAAATTAAATTCAACGGTTCTCTAACATAATGAAAGAACAAAGATTATCCCCTCATTATCAAATCACGACTGATGTAGTTTTCTAAAGTTTTCAAATACATGCACCACTATGGCACCACTGTAGAAAAACTTCAAATTTTAATTAGGTATATGTAAAGCCAATCTTTTTAGTAATAAGACAGGATACGGCCAAGAAGTACAACAAACAAAATTTATACTTTTTTCTTTTATGTTTAATTAAATAGAAAAATTAGAATTTGAATTACTCGGTGCCTATGAAAAACCGTAAATTAAAAAAAACATTGATGTTGAAAAAATTATGGAAACCTGTACGTTCACAGCAATTGCGAGGTAAACGGAATGAATAGCGGACTCATTCTCACAAACATAACGCAAAAGTATTAATAATAATGTACAATAAATTGACTTGTTTAAATAGAGATGTGCAAAATAAATACATACTGACACGCAAAAGAAACGCAATACCCTACTTTAGGGGGAAATAATTATTTAAAGTGAAGAATATTGTATCTTAAAATTATGGATATCTTCAATTTGGTAAATATCGGTAATTTAACGGTTGAACGATTTTCAAACCATAACCGGAAGTCAAGTTTGAGTCTGCTTTACAGAAATCAAAAATTGCATGTTAAGCAAAACATTTCGCAATATTATGGAGTTTTAAAGGTTTGTACTGTTCATCTTAAGTAATGCAGCAATATTTCAAAAAATAAAATCTCCTTTCGTTTCCTGTAACGATGCCAAGGCTTCTCGAAAATGGCTTAAGTACGCATTTCCATTGCTCTAACTGGTAAATCTCAACGTAAAGGTGATGGAGAGTTGATGCTGCAAAAATACACTGCATTACGCCTAAATGGGGTCTTACGTATTATATGCATAAATGATAGTCCTTGGACCGGAAGTCCAAGAGTTACTAGAATGCGTTAAGTTAGAGAAAATTCGACCTAAACATCTGAAAAACAAGCATTTAAAGATGGCTAAGAATAATTCCTTCGCTCAGATCTCGATATTGATTAACCTATTGTATCGTAGAAATTAAGCTGCAATTGTTGTTTAGGGCAGTCTTGCACGATATAATTGAATGGCTGAGAGGGGGGAGGGTTAAACAGCAATATGTTACTTAGTAAAACTCAAAGATAAACATTTAACATTTTTATCAAATCTCTGATGTTTTGAAAAGTGAGTTATGCTTAATTGTATTCTTTTTTGAAAATCATTAGATAAAAAATTCAAACATTTGAAGATACCTGCGTGTTGAGTTTCTTTTCCGTGTCAGTATATATTAGAAATATCTGTAAACACTACATCAAATCACATTTCCACTACATGTAGCTTTTTAGAAATGAGTCATTACACAACAGTTGTTCATTTGTGTATAGAGAGAAATATTCTCGGTAGCGATTTTAGCAATTGTTTCCCACATAGGCAACCCCAGGATTGGTCCATCCAAAATGCTATGCAACTCCAGACTAGAAATAAGATCTACTTCAAAGAAACGGAGATCAATCTAGAAAAAAATCCATTAAATAAAAGTAAAAGGAAATTAAAAACTGATAAGTTATGGCTAACTTGTCGAATGACAAAAGAATATTAAACATGGGTTTAAACAGTTAGAACGAGTCAACTCATGCCGCAATATATACACCAAAACAAGCAAATTCAAAGAATTGTGGTCCATCCCTTTCGGTGTATTTGTGGGTGAGATGTCATTTTTATGACAAATTGTGTCAAATAGGAACATCCTACCATCTGCCATTTAGAAATATTAGCAAAGTTGAATTTAAAGAAAAAATAAGGTCAATCGTGAAGTTCAAGGTCAAGCAGTCAGAAAAGTATAGCATGCTTGGAAATATACTCACCGTCAATAGAAACGCAACACCTTAATTTTAGGGGTGAAAATTATATACGGGATATAACTATGTACCAAAAAAGTTAGGACATCTTTTACTTTGCCAAATCAGTTATTTAACGGTTGAATGATTTTCATTCCATTACCGGAAGTTGATTTTTTAGCTCCCTGAACAGAAATCAAAAATTAGCATTTTTGATAAAATTATTGACAATATTTTGGGCTTTCAAGGTTTTGTACCTGTTAATTATAAGTCTTGTACTAAAAGTCAGGAAAAAATATCCTTCTTTCTCTTCCGGATGGGATGCCTGTATTTTCTCAAAGTAACTGAAAGCACGTATTTCCATTGCTTATGTTGGAAATTTTCAAAATAAAGAAAAGGGAGTGCTACGGATGCAAATACACACTACATAACGACTTTTCGGGCTCATGTGTTTCAAAAGCATGAATGACAGTTCCTTGACCGGAAGTCCAAGGGTTACTTCACTACGCCAAGTTAGAGAAAATTCGACCTCAGTATCTGACAAACAGGCATTTAAAAAGGGACAAGATTATTTATTTCGCTCAGATTAAGACATTGATAAACTTAATGTATCGTAGAATTCGGGCCGCTTATGTTGTACCTGGCGGACTAGCACGTTTTAATTGAATGGTCGGAAGGGGGATGTTTTAGAGTTATATGTTACTTTATATTGTTTAAAGATAAGATTAAGAATGAATACATAAATGTAAAAAGTAAATTTACAAAGCAATGATACTTCATTTAAACTTTAAATGTTATCTTTAGACCTTAAAAAGTAACACATAACTTTTAAAACATCCCCCCTTCCGACCATTCAATTAAAATGTGCTGGTCCGCCATGTACAACATAAGCAGCCCGAATTCTACCATGCATTAAGTTTATCGATGTCTTAATCTCAGCGAAATAAATATTCTTGTCCTTTTTTAAATGCCTGTTTGTCAGATACTGAGGTCGAATTTTCTCTAACTTGGCGTAGTGAAGTAACCCTTGGACTTCCGGTCAAGGAACTGTCATTCATGTTTTTGAAACAGATGAGCCCGAAAAGTCGTTATGTAGTGTGTATTTGCATCCGTAGCTCTCCCTTTTCTTTATTTTGAAAATTTCCAACATAAGCAATGAAAATACGTGCTTTCAGTTACTTTGAGGAAATACAGGCATCACATCCGGAAGAGAAAGAAGGATATTTTTTCCTGACTTTTAGTACAAGACTTATAATTAACAGGTACAAAACCTTGAAAGCCCAAAATATTGTCAATAATTTTATCAAAAATGCTAATTTTTGATTTCTGTTCAGGGAGCTAAAAATCAACTTCCGGTAATGGAATGAAAATCATTCAACCGTTAAATAACTGATTTGGCAAAGTAAAAGATGTCCTAACTTTTTTGGTACATAGTTATATCCCTTTTATAATTTTCACCCCTAAAATTAAGGTGTTGCGTTTCTATTGACGGTGAGTATATCTTGTATCAAGTAATGCACATGTCAAAGATAAAAGCTTAATCTCTTCAAAATCAAAAGTTACAGGGAACAAGATATGTTTCTTTAACATTGATGACCCCATATGACAACAAAGCGAAAATTAAACTTTTCTTAGATGCAAATTAAATATTTTGTTAACCAAAGTAATTTTTTAAGCCTTCTCACAAGAAATACGATTGTGAAATATGAAAGTCACAGCTTCACTAAAAAAAATTAAGAGCAAAGTGTATGTTTTTGTGAGGGACAAACAGCTAGAAGACTGGCGGACGGACAGCTAGACGGCTGGACAGACAAATGAGATCTAACGTCTCCTCGCTTTTGCGAAAGCGGGGGACTATTCCTAAAGCACGTAAGTGAGATAAATAGATATTACCAATTTTACGTTCAAACTGGCTAGCAGAATTAATACACCCGCCGCCACGCACATCAAAGCAAACAGGTTCGACTCCCAGGATCACAAAACATTTTTTCACGAACATTTATTTATGTAACCGAAAAGAAATTCATGGTTACATTTCAAACGGTTGAAAGCACATCTGACTATTTTTTTATTCGAGTTTCATGTTTGTTTTTTCTGGCGTCTTCTTTTAATTAATTTTAAACTTAAGTTAGACTCCAGTGCGGGAGAGTCAACGAAAGGAAATAACGCCAGATTTTTTTTGTCTGCAGTGCAAAAGTCTGCAAAGGGAAACATCTCTGGGTTACTTTCTAAAAGCTGATACTCACAGTAACATGAGAAGATTGGAACATCACATTTAACTGATTTTCCCATTTCAACACTTTTGGGTTCTATTCTATTTATCTAACATCTGTCCATCGTCGCAAAATATGACAAAAGCGTACGACCCTCTCCGGTCGATCCCATTCTGGCCCTGACTGAATAAGAAGAGTTGAATTTTTAATATAAAAATGTACACAGATTTTGATTACTTAATAGTTAAAAAAATGGAATTATCATATTTTCAATAAAAACTTTTGTAGATTTAGAAAGCTCATTTCCATTTTAGATATTGATGACAATCACGTCAATTTTGCCAAAAAGAAAACAAAATGAAAATCATTGCTCTGGCAACAAAAAATTATTGTTAACAAATTAACCACCAAGTCTTTATTTAGGACAGGTTTTAATATTTTATTGATAAATTAAAATTCAATGATGCTGAGGCCAAATTTGTTCTAACAGAGAAGCGGTGTTTAATACCAGGATTCTTAAAGTATAGAGAATTAGTTGTTTATGTGTGACTATGGATCCTCTTCATTTATCATAATGATTCATCAAACTTCAATAACAATATTAATATAGGCATGGCATTGTATAACAAACTCTTCAATAATTTTTCAGGTTTTTTCGAGGACATTCTGACAGAGGATTCACTGGACAAATTTCAGAGCTTGCAGGCAAACTATGAGAAAAATGCTGGTCTCACATTTGAATTACCTCCCAAAACAAATGCAGATTATGCTTGGTCACTTGGGCCATACACTCTATGGAAAAAAACCCGTTACACGCCGTATTTTGACAAACAACCAACAACTGTAAGTTGAAATATTGCCTTTTTTCTTCATGTACAGCTTTGGAAAAATACCTATTTAAATGTCGTACTCTCTCTCTCTCTCTCTCTCTCTCTCTCTCTCTCTCTCCGGAACATGATCAGTAGACACGCCTAACGAATTGTTTAATATTTCCATTTCTATTTTTTTTTCTCCGTGATAACTGTTTGAAAGTTGGGGGAGATTATTTCTTGATATTTCTGCCGGAATGTAAATTAGACAGGTCGATAGGTCAGCAGCTAAGGAGGCCTAATTTGCATGCAAATCTCGTGCGCATCTGTCTCAGTGTCTGACGCTAAAGATGCCAAATATGCAATGCCGTGTAAATCTCGTGCGGCTGCCTTTGTGTTTGACGTCAGTGTGCGAGGACTATTGAAATTGGCATGGCGGTCCTTCTGTAATTTAAATCTCTTAGTCTACATTATAAATGTCTAAGTCTTCAAATTTAATTCACAATGAAATGGAAATATAAGAAATCACTGTCTAGTTTGGAGAGTATGCCAGGGACATAAACAATAGTGGAAAATATGGGTAATTTTAGCGTTATGCAAATTATCCCATGTTTCCCAATATTGTTGATGCCCTGGCATACTCTCCAAACTAGACAGTGATTCCTTATATAATCCTATATTTTTTCAGCCTTAGTTCCTAAGGTACGTGTACATCAAGAGTAAATTCACTGAATTGTCCAAATAACTTGATTCTTAACAATATAAAAAATACTATGTTGACTAATTGACAAGTACATGTAGGACCCCTAATTCTCAAACTGCACCTGACATATGGTGCCTATAGACTTATATGTCACATGACGACGTAAGTGAGTTGCAATTCCAAAAGGACAGTGCTGACAGTTTACGAAAAAGTTTCATTTACTATTTACCTTGATTCTTTAGATCAAGTTGAGTTAATTTCGTTAAACTTTTGGCATTATTTACTTTTGACAAGGTTAGTATGTCTCGTCACGTTATAGAAATACCTCACCCTCCTGTCCAATTCGACTAAAAAATCTACAGAATGCTACCCTTTTCTCCATTTTTATGCCCCAAAAACGAAGTTTTGGTGGTGTATAGTTTTTGTCTTGTCCGTCCGTCTGTCTGTTTGTCCGTCTGTCGAACTGTTTGTTCGTCTGTTTGTCCGCAAAAACTTCGACCTTGCCCATATTTTTTTATTAAAGCTTGATTAAGTTGAGCTATTACTTTCATATCTGATACGTGTATTCCTTTTGACAAGACCTTTTTTTGGTACCACCAAATATGACCTCTTGACTTTGGTGTTTGACCCACTTTTACACAAATCTTCCAACTTTTACTTTGATTATATCTTTTGAACAGTAGACACCAGGACATTTTTACTTTACATATGTATTTTTTGTGGCAAGACCAACAAGTTTGACCTTTTGACCTTGATCTTGGAGATTTCCGTACTTATGAAAAAACTTTAACCTTGGCCATAACTTTTGAACTCTTGAACGTTAAGGGATAGGGCTTTCATACTTTACAAACGTATTCTTTGTGACAAGACCTTTCATTGGATACCAATTATGTTGACCTTTTGACCTTGACCTATGGTATTTTCTTACCTATGAAAAACTTTAACCTTGGTCATAACTTTTGAACACTAAGGGATAGTGATCTTATACTATACATATGACATTCTTGTGAGAAGTCCTCTCATTTGATACCAAGAACTTTGACCCTGGAGTTTGAACTATTTTAAAACGCAAACCTTGATCATAACTTTTAATGAATTAGGGCTAGTGCTTTATTACTTTACAGATTCAATCCTTGTGACAATACTTTTCATTTAATAGCGAAACCTTTGATCCTTTTACCTTGGAGTTTGACCTACTTTTATAAATTTTTTAACTTAGCCATAACATTTGAAGGATTAGAGCTAGAACTTATATACTTCACATATGTGTAAACGTATTTTTTGTGGCAAAACCTTTCATTGAATACCAAGTTCCTCGATCTTTTGACCTTGGAGATTTCCAAACTTATGAAAAAAGTTTAACCTGGCCTACTTTCGTATCTCAGAATTGTATTTCAGTTGAGTTTGCATTTAAGAAAAGTTTAATATTCTATATGTTGCCAAACGAGGGTATCAGTGTTTCACAAACACTTCTTGTTTTTCAGAAGATACTTGTAGTATCCTCTAGCACTTACGTATCTTCATTTTACACTCCTATTTCAAAAAATAAAACACATTTATCCAGATGATTTTTCATTTATTTTTAAACGCACATTAAATCTTAAATTTGATGCCAATTTCCCTCCATCTAATTCTTGCTTAAGTCCCATTAAACAAGAAAAGTTATTTTTTAATTAGAATATTACATCAAAATATTATTTTCGCTAAACTTAAGAGAGACTTGTACCGTGCTATAAAGTGCTTCCGGGGAAAAGGTAACTCATATTTCTATGTTATGAACATGAAGAGTATGTTGTATAACAGCTCAGAAATTTGTTAAGAGTTAGATTATTCAATCTCCATGGAAGTTCATATTTTAGTTTCTAACGCCGCTAAATACCAGTTACTAAGTGCAGCCTGTATCAGTAGTATACGCGTTTAAGTCAGGGTGATTGACGTTGTTAAACAATTTAAACGATAATATGTCAATGTATAAACTAAATTTCCATAACAGTAAAAATCTCACACAAACATTCAAATGAGGTCAATCAATCGTAATATTGACATAATTTTTGTTTTATATGCCAATTATGGTGACTATAAGTTCTCATAAAACTTTTTAAGAATATGAATAATGATGAACGAGTAAATTTCTCCTACGCATTTTGAAACATCTGTTTCTATGGCACTGTCATAGCGTTTCTATCATAGACTAAACTATTTTTTGATTAAAAAAAAATCAACAGGTGTCTTTATTTTCATTTGTACATGTATTTTTTAACCTTTTTTATGAATGAATAACATTTGAAGATATCCCACGAACTTTTGGATCAACCCTTGTATTCAACATATTTTTCACATCTAAGATTTTAGTTAAGTACGTATATCAAGCATATGCACTGTTTGTCATAATAAAAGAAATTACAGCAACACAGTCCACTTGATCTTAAAACCCACTTTGCACATTATACTACAATAGTTTGTTTTAATTATTGAAATATATAGAGGAAGGGTCTGATAATAACATTCATATATAGTCTTGTCCGATTTATAGAAAAAATACTTCTAACTGCAAATAATAATTATTTGTTTCAGAACAGTATTTAACCTATTTCGAGTACGCTGAATCCGAAAAAATATGAAAAAGCATTTTTTTAATTTTACAATATTTCACACTGTTTGTCAATCTAGAGCATAAGTAGAGACATCATGCCAAGTTTCATTAAAATTCAACAATTAATTAAGATTTTACAGCATTTACAGTTCTATGTGTAATATCCTTAAAAAATGCTCCAATCTAGCCAAAACTGCACCCAAGTTTTGAGTCAAATTTTAGCCTATTAACACATTTATACCATTCTTAATCACCTTCATATCTTTAAATACATATAGTCAAATCATAATCAAGCACTTAATTGGGTCAATTTCACTTATTTTAAAAAATTAATGTATTTTCGCACAAAATATGACCACTTTTCACCTTCTAATTCATAGTTTCTCCAGAAATGACAAAAAAATGAAGTTCACAAATACCCCGAAAGTAGTAAAATAAAAAAGTACTTATTATTTCCTGACCATTGATGTATCATTCATGAAATTTGGACTATGAATGAAAAAGTTATAAGCCTTTATAATCCTATATAGAATCATTTGTTTCAAAGCAATTTTTATACCAATGCAAATTTACTCATCTATGACGTCACAATGACATCATAATAATGGATAGCTCAATACATGTGTATCATTACTTTTCCCGTACTTTTCATTTAAGACAAAATCAGTGCTTATATACTATTATTTACTTTAAAAAATAAAAATATGTGGTGTTGCAGATTAAATAAATAGTTCACTAAAGTTGTTTTGTTTCCATGGTAACCATTTTGTAATTTGTAGGAAAATGAGACAAAATTTTGAATTTCCTGACAAATCGCATAATTTTGACTGTCAAATATTCATGAAATTTCAATTCTTATATCCGTGTAATCTTAATAATGCATAATTAACAAAACAAAGATGTAGATCTAATTAATTTGAAAATCTTAAATAAGAAAAGAAAATCTATATGAGCTGCAAAATGTATATAGCAGTGCATGTACAGATTAGTTATAGCTAAATACTTTCACATTCTGATCACCTATTTAATAATTATGTAAATTTCCTCACCCCCAAACATCCCCCCACTTTAATGAAATTTTTTTTTAGAAAACTTAAACTTACATATTTTGCCGACTGTCACATTTTGCTGGTTCTTTTTCAAGATGTATTCAAATGGGTGTGCATTTGCTGGCCAATAGTTTTAAACACCATCTGCATGGACCTCATGTTTTTCCTGTACCAATCACCATAAACCTAAAAAAAAAAAATCAATACAATAAATGGTACAATATCACATTTGCAGACAGACAGACACACAGACATTCAACACATACAATTTTTACCATATTCCTTTTATGCCCATTACTTGAAATTAATTAATTTAAAACATGATTAATTTGCTCCCACCTGAAATCACACTGTTTACATGGGTTATTAAGTTAATTCAGCAGAATTATATAGGTAAAAATCATGTTTTACTGACAATAATTGAACATTCAACAAATACATGTAATGCAATTGCTAAAAAATATGAGAAAAATCAGTTAATGTGCATGTTCACACACATCGTTTAACTCCCAGACAACTGTACCCAGCTTGACCGCGCAACTGATCTGAAATGATGTATGTCAAGTATGCATATGTGACGCGCCGATCATCGACATGTTCCAAAAACATTAAATTGTTATTTACAAATATTGTACTAGGGTATACCTCTTACCTCCTGTGTAAAATACAAATGCCCATCACCTATATAC